TTGGGAGATGACAGCGTTGACTGATAAAGCACATCTTGTGCCGGAGGAAATCGCAATTATTACAAATGGTTAATACACCAATGTACCATATAGAGCCCAGCGCCATCGAGAACTGCAAAGATACCCGTTCGGTCATGTTTGGCATGCATGTTACCCCATATTATCTGTATGTGTTTTTCTTTATAAATGTCGGCATACCTCTTTGCGCCGTTTTATCTTTGACTGCACAATAAATGCCACTCCCCAAGACAATCCAGTACATACGACCATAGGGTGTGGAGAACAGGGCTTCCCGTCCGCTCAGCCGTACTTAAGCCACACGCCGGGAGGTTAGTAGTTGGGTGGGTGACCACCAGCGAATCCCTCCTGTTGTATGTTTTTCTGTCATTTTCTTTTCCTTTTTTTTTTTGTGGCTAGAGAATTCAATTCTCCTGCATGAACTAATTGCCTGCCCCCAAAGCAAAATCTACATAATACACAGTATATTATTGTATTAGCCTAGGCTCAGTAAGCGATTACTAGTTTTCACACTTCGTCATGTAACTTTTTCTAGCTAAATAGAAACTGGGAATTATCAACGAACCCGCGCCACCACCAGATCCAACAACAAAGATTGTTGGAGTTTTGTTGAACCGTCCAGATCCATAAGCCCTCAAGATGGAACATGTCATACTTGACAGATAGCCGATCAAGGCCGGGGTCAAAACAACAAAGCAAATGATTCCGAAGAGTTTAGATAAAAAACCACCATCTACACGCATGCAGTGACTGTGCACAAACAGAGGGATTTCATGTCTGTAGAAGTTATAGTTTACGTACAGCAAGAAAAAGAAACCTATTCTGTATTTTCAAGGTATATTTCACCTGATTTGCAGTGTAAGAGTTTAGTCGGGGTGATGATGAGTTGAAGAGTGTCCGCAGGTTAGGCAGGTCGCATGGTGAGAATTCCTCACGGATCCTTTGCAATTGCAGTACTCTCGACCGTTGCAGTGATCCAGATTGACAGGGAGAATAAGGTCACTTGAGACAGCCATGCGGATGGTGTTGCTGGGTTGATTATATGTTACTAGGGCTCAAGGGGAAATCATAAGTGCGTGTGTTAGGATTATACCTGGTTCGGACCACTCAAATACTGGGTCCATGCCTATGACAAGTAAGATCCATGCATTTGGTGTGTTCCTGATCCCTTCTCCAATGCTCAATATGAATGGATATCTCGATGTCTTAGCGCTGTGTTCATGTTCCGACATGACCTTGACTCCACATTGAATCAGCATTCTCAAATTGCGGTCTTCTAGCCTACGCATCGTCTAAAAATAGCCCAAATCTCTCTCGCTCATATCATCGTTGCCTAGGCTCCTTTGGGGCTCTGTTGTAGAGCCGGGCCTATAATAGGTACTAATAGAAGGTTCAAAACAATATCTGTAAATCAGCCCATTTACTAAGGCTAGGTGGGGTTTAAGAAAGCTCAAAATTATATTACCTCTGTGGTACAACCTGCATTAAACCTTTAGCCACCAATATCAGCTACAGGATGCACTCCTACCAGGGCGACTAGTATCCGAATATCATCTACCCGGAGGAGAGAGACACTCGCATAGTTAGCTCGCTGTATTCGACTACTGGGAAGTAAATAAGTAACGTGTTGGATGGTCACTTGCTATATCCCTGCGATCCAGTGATGTGGGCACCAGGTGGTATGATTTTCTGGGTTTGGAAGAAGTACGAAAAGTTCCTTGCCTCTGATTTGCATTCGCGCCAATACGGTAGTTCCATGGCACACTGCAAGCTTGACAAAGATCGCCACAATTAAAGGGTGACTCTCCAGTCCCAATATACCATTTCCCCCCGTGTTAGATCGATTGAACACATTTGTAGACAAACGTGAAGATATTTATATAACTTACATAACTGGGGTCTCGTTCGTGAGATCCGATACTTGGCGTTGCCAAGACCGAAGTTGAGACGATGGCGGAGACATTGCATGCTTTCGATATTTCAGGTCAAGCAATTCCACTATGTTCGATAAGGTAAGTTTCAGTGACAATATTCAAATCAGTATAGTCTGGTAGTCATGGCAATGATACAAAATTTTGACCTTGTGGAGTGGTTGAAAACCGCCACGGCCCACAGCGCATGTACCGAAGGTAAATATATTTATTCAATACTACCCGACTACGTGACCAAAGTTGTTAAAATTATGTGGAAGAATAAAATGTCTATGTGAATCCCGTTCAAGGTGACAGAGCTGACATAAAGACAAAGGTTGATTATTCTGATAGTCCAGTAAAAGCCGTATGAGCGATTGATTGTGCAGACCGAGTTAAGGAATACCTACTATTACGGAGGATTCCCCCGTACGCAGGGGACTGCGGTGTGAATCCTAGAAGTATTCTGCTCCCAACGGCATTCATACATTTGGAGCCCATTCATACATACATAGCAACTACTTTAACAAGACCCATAGTGCCAATGACCTTCGGCAAGCTGACATGCGAGTACCGAATCTCAATCATGGCGCGTACTCCAAAAACAACTTCTTAAAACCACTCTTGACTCCTGTCCCATCTTACACCGCTAAAAGAACTCTCTACAATACCTGAAAAGGTGGTGGATATTAAGAATGCAGTGAGATTCACGCATTCTTGCAACCACAGGACTTATCCTCGCAAGCTCCAGCACAGCCAATGCTGTACGCGCTGTTGAACCCCGGAGCATCGATGATAGGCTCTCCTTGATGGTTGGAGAGGTAGCACTTCTTCGAACGGGCATGGTAGTCGACACTGTGGCAGGGAACCAGTTCGGAGCAGGCATCCATGCACTCTTTCAGGGAACCAGTGTCCAGGGTGGTAAGGTACTCTGCGCCATGGCGCTTACCACAATTCATCTTGAAGACTTCTCCGTTGGGACTGGTGTACTGGCGGTGGTCCGCCCCAGGACACTCGGTTGTGCATTGAGGCACCAGTTCAGTTGTCTGGGGAATAGTAGGTGGAGGTACTGCGTATGCATAGTCGTGGTTGGGACACGAGGTATTCCCAACCTTGTCCGACTTCATCAGAGTACAAGTCTTGGAATTAGAGTTGGCGCCATTCTCAGAATCCCAGTTGATGGCGAGGCATCCATCCGTTTCACTGCAGGTGTCGATACATTGCTGATAGGTGTTTGCAGTCGTCGTCTGCAGAGTTCCGAACCAGCCGTGGGTACTGCATTGAAGTTTGAAGAAGCCACCATCCGGTGCAGGATAAACTTTGTCATTGCCCTCTGGACATTTAGGCGCCGCCACATACTGTTGGTCAGCGGGAGTTGGGATAGGCTGCTGACTACTGCCATCACCCGGCTGAGGAAATACGGGCTGCTGGCTGCTGTCACCACCTGGTTGAGGGAAGACAGGCTGCTGGCTGCCACCCGGCTGAGGAAAGACAGGTTGTTGACTGCTGTCACCTGGTTGAGGAAAGAC